TTTTACAGCAGCATAGTATTCCATCATGTAGATGTACCACAGTTTTCTAATCCAGTCATCTGCTGATGGGCACTTAGGCTGTTTCCAAATTTAGCTATTGTAAATTGTGCTGCTATGAACATAGGGGTGCATATATCCTTTCTGATTGGTGTTTCTGATTTCTTGGAATATATTCCTAGAAGTGGGATTATTGGGTCAAATGGGAGTTTCATTTTTAATTTTTTGAGGAAACGCTATACTATTTTCCACAGTGGTTGCACCAATCTGAATTCCCACCACCAGTGCAAAAGAGGTCCTTTTCTCCACATTCTCGCCAGCACTTGTCGTTTGCTGATGATAGCCATTCTGACAGGTGTGCCTGCTCATTTCTGTCCACAAGAAATGTTTCCCAAGCTTCCTAATTGGACAGCTACCCAGTAAGGGCATGACTTTGAGGGGTTTTAAACAAAACCCTATAAATCTCTTTCTTCTTCCTTCTATCAGCTTCAGGGTAAAAAGGAAGCAGAAGTCACCAGAATAGTCCTATTTGGAAATGAGCAGAAAGGAGAAGTCATCCAGAAGAAAGTCTAGAAAGGTCAGTTTTCCTGATATGACTTGGGCCCTTTTACAATCCAAGAAGAGCATAGGGAGCTCTGGCTTTTTTGGGGTGGGGAGGTGAGGTCTGCACTTCTGGTGGTTTTATTATAAGAGCTAGTGTACATTTTGTTGACTGCCTTCTTTTTAAAATTTTTTAAAATTTATTAATTAAATAAGAGAGAGAGAAAGAGAGAGAGAGAGAGAGAGAGAGAGAGAGAGACATCAATGATGAGAATCATTGATTGACTGCCTTCTGTATGCCCCCTACTGGGCATCGAGCCGGTAAGTTGGGCATGTGCCCTTGACCGGAATCGAATCTGGGACTGTTCTGTCTGCAGGCGGATGTTCTACTCACTGAGCCAAACCTCTAAGGAAGCGGTTCTCAACCTGTGGGTCGAGACCCCTTTGGCAGTCGAACGACCCTTTCACAGGGGTCGCCTAAGACCATCCTGCATATCAGATATTTACATTATGATTCATAACAGTAGCAACATTACAGTTATGAAGTAGCAATGAAAATAATTTTATGGTTGGGTCACAACATGAGGAACTGTATTTAAAGGGCCAGAAGGTTGAGAACCACTGCCTGGGTCATATGTCTGCTGTTTTGCTCCCTCTGGATTCTTCTAAGATTTTTATGGTTTCCCATCTTACTATAACATTTCTTGAGGAAGTACAGTTTGCATTGAATCCATACAGGGACCTGTGAGAGTGCATGTTCTTGATTGTTAACATTTGTTTTTTCAGATTATGGAAGTCGGTTTCAGCTTATTTTTAAAAAATAAATTTTCTACCCTCTTCTTTTCCCACTTTTCTCTCTCTCTGTCTCGTTCCATGACGAACACCCTTAGTGTTTCCTGGGATTCCCATAATGCTAATTACAGGTAAACTTTATGGTTTTACTTAATTTAATTTGCTGAATGCTTTAAGTTTTATTTTTCTTCTTTCCATCTGGATGATTTCTAGTGACCTGTCATGGACAGCACATATTCTTTATGCCTGCTTTTGATACTCTTTATTGCATTTTTCATTTTATTCATTGTAATTGTGCAACACCAACATTTCTATTTCATTCGTTTTTATGATTTCTGTCTATCTGATAGTCTCCTTTTGTTCTGTGTTCATTTCTTCATTATGTTTTTGCCATTTCTGTTCTCTTGTAGCTTGCAAACATTTTTAAAGGTAAATATTTTGGATTCTTTATCAGGCTGTATGTGCTCTCCATTTATTTGGTATCGGTTAGTAGATGGTGTCCTTGTTTTTCGTCCGGTGTTGATGTCTACGCATTTGATGAAGCAGTTACTCCTTTGAACTCTAGGACCAATTCTAGCTCAAGAAAAACATTCATCGGCATATGGAATCAAGGGTTTTGACTGGGTGGAGTGTTGTTTCAGGTTTGAGAAAGTCCCAGTAGCCTAGTGCCCTTGAAGCTCCATGAGCTGAGGTTAGAAAAACAAAAAGTCTATGGGTCCACAGTGGCTTTGGCAGCAAATTATTATTATTTTTTAAATATATTTTTATTGATTTTAGAGAGGAAGGGAGAGGGATAGATAGAAACATCAATGATGAGAGCGAATCATTGATTGGCTGCCTCCTGCAAGTCCCCCACTGGAGATCGAGCCCACAACCCAGGCACGTGCCCCTGGCCGGAATCGAACCTGGGACCCTTCAGTCCGCAGGCTGACGCTCTATCCACTGAGCCAAACCAACCAGGGCAGCAAATTATTATTTTTTTTTAATGACAAGTGATGGTTTTAGAGTCTTTGGTGGCAAATACTTTGGGGACATATTTTTTATTTTATTTTATTCCTGGAATAGGTTGTTGTCAAAGGGATTTCTTCTGGGATGCATGCTGATAAATATTATGGGGTCCGCTGATTAAGTAGACCTTGGGGAGTTCACAAATGTTCCACAGAATTCTGTGATTCGTAAATACAAAAATATCCAGGTTTTTTCACAGAGCAGGTCAATAGGGTCAACATTAGTGCAAATGCAGTGGTTGATAGAGGAAACTCTGACCCTTGTTTTGACGGTGAGATCACAGGTCCTTCTCTGCCAGGAACTGGACCTTTATGGACGCCGGGTATTAGATGGAGAAGAAGATATGAGAAGTCGTGGGTATATAAGAGAGTCTTTATTGCAGTCCAAGTAGCCATTGCTACCAAGGAGCCACTCCAGCGGTTCTCAACCTGTGGGTTGCGAACAATGAAAATACATCCTCCATATCAGATATTTACATTACGATTCATAACAGTAGCAAAATTACAGTTATGAAGTAGCAACGGAAATAATTTTATGATTGGGGGTCACCACAACATGAGGAAGTGTATTAAAGGGTCGCGGCATTAGGAAGGTTGAGAACCACTGCTAGACAAAACAGTTCTTCCAAGTAAAGTCCGGCAAAGTAGTCTATAAAGTAGTGAGCTACACACTGGCTTTTTAACAATACATCCTCCCTACAAAGCAGCCCCCAACATAGGACCCAGCCTAAGAGCCATACTAAGTAGCCGCTGCTAACATAGTAATCCAACCATTGCAAACACAGTAATCCAACCAAGCAGCTACGTACTGGCTGGTCAGGAACATACTATATATCAACTTAGACAAAAGAGGCTTCTTTTCAAATAGTGACATTAGTCTTTGGGTTATAGATGCGCACGCCTGCACAGTGACTAGAATAGCTTGCTATGTCCTTGCTTTTGTGACTGTGTATAGCAAATTAGCCTTGAACACTCTGAAAAGGATTCCCAAGCTCAGATTGGCCTTGAACATCCCATGGCCTCTGGACAGGGCACCCACGTTGACCTTTGCTAAATATGTTTGGTAACCCACTCTGGTCATCTCTTTGTAATTCAGCCTTTTTTTTTTTTGGCTCTACTGAATTCTTTTTGGTCTTAATTGCACTCATTTTCTTAAAAATCCTCACTTGTTAGTTTGTTTTTTTGTTTTGTTTTTTGTTTTTATATTTATATATTATTGATTTTTCACAGAGAGGAAAGGAGAGGGATAGAGAGTTAGAAACATTGATGAGAGAGAAACATCGATCAGCTGCCTCCTGCACGCACCCACTGGGGATGTGCCTGCAACCAAGGTACATGCCCTTGGGAGGAACAAACCTGGGGACCCTTAGGTCCACAGGCAGATGCTCTATCCACTGAGCCAAACCAGTCAGGGCTGTTTTTTGTTTTTGTTTTTTTTAACCACGGTGCATTTCAGAGAGAGTGGAAAGGAGGGAGCGGGGACAGAGTGGGGAACATTGATGTGAGAGAGACAGACACATTGACTGGTTGCCTCTTGCACCCACCAGGCGGGGCAAGGAGCTAAACTCAGCCCAAGTGTGTAACCTTGACACGGAATCAAACCCTTGACCCTTCTGGTTGCAGGCCGACGCTCCAACCATTGAGCAAAAGCAGCCAGGGTTTCACTGTATTCTTAACCCCTTGTAGTTGTTTTTGTTCATGGATAGCTGTCTACTTGTTCTGAGAGTGGAAAGGATTATCATATTTCTTAGCCATCTTGCTGATGTCACTCACACAGATTTTTTTTCCTTGTGATCTCTGTCGCGCTTTGTAGTTCTTCCACAATGCTCACCATACATCTCTTTGGTTTTTTCTTTTGGATTTATATCATCTGAATCCCATGTTCGACTCAGTTGGGATTCATGGGGAAGAATCATTTGTGCATCACAGAAGAAACATGACCTGATGAATGACAGGGTGGACCCAGAGGCAGTCTTGCCTTAGTGAAGGCCAGTGGGAAAGGTTTTGACACCAGGGCTTTGTTAAAGTCATAACTAGGAACCCATTTTGTCCAAAAGTATTTTGTTTCCATGACCCATTTCTCACCCAATTCTCCTTCTACTGGCTTATTGTGGACACTTTGCGAACTCCTCAGGGGTAATAATGACCATTTCTACTTAGATTCCAAGCCCACGGGTAACTTTAACCTCCCTAGATGTTGCACCTGTACCTCTTTCACAGGTCCCTCATTACTGCAAACCAACATAGGTCCATGCCTGCAGAGCTTTGGAGTACACACGTATTATTATACTGACCTTGAACATCTTGTGCTTCAATACAATTGTGTTGTATGGGTTTGAGCACATTCAAATTATCCTACACAGACACAGGTCTCCAGCATGAAAAGTCCTAAAAGGAGCCATTTGTAGAAGAACAATGAGTAGAGCCTTCCTCTCTTCTTTGTTTCCCACCCTAAGCTTTTGTTCCTGTTTTGGTGAGATTTTCATCATTGACCAGGTAATATATAACAGCTATTTCATTGGAGTTCAACTCACTTGTCTTGGAAATCATTCTATGGAATCATGCCTAGTCATGACAGAGAAACACTTTTCGTAAAGATATTCTGATTTCATAAGGTCAGCATGTACTTCACCAGTGTTTCCTTTGTTCAGGTTGCTGCTGTGGAGCAGAGAATGTGGAGGCCCCGACAGAACAGAAGGTTTCTGTAAGAGTGTCACAGGCAAGGAGTCCCAAGGTAGCCTTGTCTTCCCAGAAGAGCCACCCCTGTGAGAGTTGTGGGCTAGTCTTGAGAAAGATTTTCCAATTGACTGAGCTGCAAGGAACACACCATGGACAGATGCTGTTGAGGTGTGGGGCATGTACAGAACTATTTTATTTCAGTACAAAATTTCACCAGCAACATGTGAGAGAGAACACTTTTATTAGGGGTGTGGAGAGGATGTCACGTTCAAATGACTGCAATTTCAATGTGTCCCGGAATCATTTCACCTGTGGGGAGGCTGGGCAGGGCACACTTTCCTTGTCAGGGCATCTCCACCTAAAGGCTGATCAGACCAGGGACAGTCTAAATGCTATTTCTGTGGGTGGTTTGATGTTTCAAAGGAGAAAAGATTTTTACACCAGAAAAGAATGTGAGGAAGACATTGGCAGCAGTAATCTTCATCATCATCAGAGAGTTTGGACTGGAGAGAAGCCTTATAAATGCAGTGAATGTGGGAAATCTTTTATCACCATCAGTCACCTTTGTCGTCATCAGAGAGTTCACACTGGAGAAAAGCCTTACAAATGCAGTGAATGTCAGAAATCTTTTACCAATTGGAGTAGCCTCCATTATCATCAAAGTTTTCACACTGGAGAAAAGGCTTATAAATGCAGTGAATGTGGGAAATCTTTCACCAGTAGCAGTGTCCTCCATTATCATCAAAGTTTTCACACTGGAGAGAAGCCTTATAAATGCATTGAATGTGGAAAATCTTTTATCACCATCAGTGACCTTTGTCGTCATCAGAGAGTTCACACTGGAGAAAAGCCTTATAAATGCGGTGAATGTCAGAAATCTTTTACCAATTGGAGTAGCCTCCATTATCATCAAAGTTTTCACACTGGAGAAAAGCCTTATAAATGCAGTGAATGTGGGAAATCTTTTACCAGTAACAGTGACCTTCATTGTCATCAGAGAGTTCACACCGGAGAAAAGCCTTATAAATGCAGTGAATGTGGGAAATCTTTCACCAGTAACAGTTACCTTCATCGTCATCACAGAGTTCACACCGGAGAAAAGCCCTATACATGCAGTGAATGTGGGAAATCTTTTCTCACGAGCTCTCACCTTCATCGTCATCAGAGAGTTCACACTGGAGAAATCCCTTATAAATGCAATGAATGCGGGAAATCTTTTACCACTAGCAGTTACCTTCATTATCATCAGAGAGTTCACAATGGAGAAAAGCCTTATAAATGCAGTGAATGTCCGAAATCTTTTATCACGAGCTCTCTCCTTCATCGACATCAGAGAGGTCACACTGGAGAAAAACCTCATAAATGCAGTGAATGTGGGAAATGTTTTACCAATAGCAGTAGCCTCCATTATCATCAAAGTTTTCACACTGGAGAAAAGCCTTATAAATGCAGTGAATGTGGGAAATCTTTTACCCGGAGCAGTGAGCTCTCTTCTCATTGGAGAGTTCACACTGGAGAAAGGCCTTATGTGTGCAGTGAATGTGGGAAATCTTTTACCTGGAACACTGCCCTTCATCGTCATCGGAGAGTTCATAGTGGAGAAAAGCCTTATAAATGCAATGAATGTGGGAAATCTTTCAAAAGTAGCAATGGTCTCCACTATCATCAGAGAGTTCAAACTGGAGAAAGCCATTTTGCTTGCAAATGACAGAGATATCTCAGCCAAATTTCTAAATTTGCTCTGCACATATGAGTCCAAATGTGAGTAATTACTTAGATGTGTAGGCAATGTAGTTTCTTAGGTCTTAACAATAGTATAAGAAAATTTGTGAAGTCTTATTTGTCTGAATTGTATCTCATGCATTTAATCACCTACATATGTAAAATTCCCTTAAGTTTTTGCTATTGTATTTGTTTTTATGCTGGAACCATATGTATCTATGTTGCACTTTCTGACATACAGAGACATGTTGCCAGATCTATGTCACTGCATATTTCTGTTGCTGAAGGTATTTCACCTGAACCACGTATAAGACCCCTACAGATGGTATCCATCCCCATCCTCATGGGCCCAAGGAAGCTATGTCTGTTGTCTAATTTGTTGATGAAAATGAGGAATACCTGAGCCCTTAGTTCTTTCTTGTCTCCCTGTCTTGTGTTGCCACATAGGACTCATTAATGTTGGCCCCAGTAAACATAATGTGGCAGAGGGCCTGCCATTTTCAGGGACACACATTCCCTAAATGCCAGTGATGAATTTATTTATTGAGTTCCTAAGTCATCAATGGAAGAACTGCCAGTCTTCGGTCTCTTTGCAAAATAATGAAGGCTTTTTCCTAGGACTTCCTTAATTTTGGGTGTTCTAATGACTCTATGGGTTAGTTTATATCGGGATCTGGACTCTCCTAGCATGATGAGGTGAAAAACTTATGGAGTCTCAAATATTCTTTGACGTTGAAGGAACGGTATGGTATAGAAATTTCCACAGCAGTGTTTGCCAAATGTACATTGATGCCCATATTTTTCTAGGAAGCTATTTGGACTCTCTAGTCCTGATGTGAAGATGGATGCTTTGAGACACAGAGATCACTCTAAAAAGGAGGTAGCTGTGACAAGTTCAGGTATATCTCCTAGCAGCGTGAAATTTTTTCTTGTTTCTCAAGGGATGCCCATACACTTGCCCAGGTCTTGCAGAGGGTCATGTGCCCTAAAGCCTACAATTTCATGGCTAATGGTCACTGATTGGAGTACTCTAGCAGTTAGGGGAAATCTTTCACTACAGAAACATTGACCTGATGAGTTTGTAGGGGATTACAGCCCATTAGATGGAATGTTCCTCATCTAAACTTGCATGCAAGAATGGTTCTGAGAAAAAGACTACAGGAGCGGTGTGTACACAGATCTGAGGATCTCCAGTCATTGTCATTCAATATAATCAGTAGGTTTTGTGGCTTCCTATAGCTTCTCAGATGTTCCCATCAGAGCCATTGGTGCGCTGGCAGAAAAACAAAGACAAAGGCAAAGGGTGTCTAGTCCAGCGATGTGGCTTTTGTGACCCAGACAGCATTCTTGTTGGTTTGGGTGAAAGTTCTTCATTGTTTATTACATTTTCTGTCCCAGAGGGCATAAGAAGGTGGATTGCATATAGATTTGCCAAACCTGTTTTTCCAATATAGTTGAAAATACACATTCTTAAATTTTGAATCATTTTTAAAAAGGTATAATGAGTAAAGTACAGGTTAGGTATACTGTTTCATAAATCATGATGTGTTAATGTAACTAAAACCATCACTATAATCATAATATTGACCATATCTGTCACTGTGAACTTGGTTCATGACTTTTTTAAATGTGCCTCTGTGCTTCACAGCTTAAGTAACCATTGATTGACATTCCATTTTAATAGATCACTTTGCATTTTTCTAAGGATTTTTATGTTTTAATTTATGTTTCATAAATTCTTGGAGATTTTTTAAACATATATTAGTAAGTCATCTTTTTCCTGATAAGTATTCTTACCTTTGAATATATCACCAATAGTTTATCCATTTTTTATGAATATTTGGTCATTTCTAATAAAGCTGGTACAAACATTACTGTATAATTTTATATATGGATATAAGTTTCATTTACCTTTACCAAAAATTCCGTGCCTGATCTGTATATAAATGTTAAAATTTACAAAGATTAACATTGTGTGATCTAAACTGAATATGCCATCATGGATGCTGTAGCTTACGTGTTTAGGTGTGGTGCCATGCACAGCAGAGTTACTACTTTGGATTACTGGGCTTGTGTGTGGATTGTGTGCTAGCTCCCCAGAATGGGGTGTGCAGGAGGCAGCCTTGTCGATGTTGTACTCTCGTATCGTGTTTCTCTCCCTTTCTCCAAATATTTTTTTTTTTGCCCTTTCTCCAAATATTAATAAAAATGCCCATCTTGCCTGGCTCATTCGTTGAGCTTTGACCTATGAGCCAGGTGGTCATGGGTCGATTCCAAGTCAGGGCACATTCCCAAGTTGCCGGCTCAAACCCCAGTGTGACATGTGCAGGAGGCAGCCAATCTATGATTCTCTCTCATCACTTGTGCTTCTTTCTATCATTCTCTAATAGTCAATAAATATATATATTTAAAAATCAATAAACTATTTAAAAATAAACTGATTTTACCTTTTTGCATTTTTCCACTAGTGTGTGAGGTGTTCACATGCTAGAAAGTATTTTGTTCGATCAAGCGTTTTTTTATATAAACATTCTGTAATTTTGTCATTCTACATCACTTTTTATTGTATTTTTTCTAGGAATTTATGGTGAGCCTTTTTCCGATGTGTATTTGTTGAGTCTGTATATTTGTTAAAATACCTTACTGTATGTTCTGTGTAATGTGCTGTGAGTTTTGGCAATTTTCTTCAAATAAAACACAGTGAAACAATAGAGATGGATGTTGGAATTTTACTTATTTTGTGCCTTTTTCATTTTATGAAGTAAACTTTTTTTTGTATTGGAATATGTTTTAATATTTTTTCTTTTTTAATAAATATATTAATTTACTTAAACAATTTTTATTGATTTCATTGAGCAAGGGAGAGGGACTGAGAGATAGAAACATGAATGTTGAGAGCACAGCATCATGGTTCAGTGGTTCCATGTGGACCTATGAACCAGGAGGTCAGGGAACATGGCTGCACCCCGGGCTAGATACCCAATGTGGGGCATGCAGGAGGCAGCTAATCGATGATTTTCTCTCATCATTGATGTTTAAATTTTGTCTCTTTTTAAAAAATATTATTTTACTCATTTTCGAGAGGGGGAGATAGAAACATCAATGATTAGAGAGAGTCATTGCTTGGCTACCTCCTGCATGCACCATACTGGGGACTGAACCCATAACCAGGCATGTGCCCTTGACCGGAATCAAACCTGGGACCCTTCAATCTGCAGGCTGATGCTATACACTGAGCCAAACCGGCTAGGGATGTTTCTATCTCTTTCTCTCCTGGCAACTCCAGTCTTTCCCTGCAGAGACATTCTCAGGCCAGGC